ATTCCTGCAAATTGGAAATCCAAAATATGTTGCAGTTGCAAGTCGTGGTGGAAAAAATACTGATCTTGTAACTTATATGTAGGCATTTCGTTCTCAACTCTGTTTTGCTGTATAATGCGTTGTATTTTCAATGTGGCATCCCAACAGGAGCCATCTGATGGTACCCCGCTGATAGTCACAGACGCTAGGACAGCCGCTGTGCAATAAGGAGCATAGATCAGAGTGTCTTCAAGTCTGGATGTGCCTCGTTGCAAGAGAAGACATGATGAGCAAGGGAAAAAAGAATAAGATGTTTCATACTGTGTCATTTAGAAGCAATAAAAAATGCTTTGGTGCATCCTAGAAGAAGTGCGTTTGTGTATGACACCAGGATTTGCATGTCATGGGTGAATGCAGAAATGAGACAGGAAAACACAAATGTACAGGAAACAAAATCCCCCAGCCCAACATGAAAGGTTGGGATTTTGAAATGAAATTCCCAGATTTTCCAGCATCGGGTTCCTGAGAGGGGAACGTGCGTTTCAGTCTCTCTGGGGGATGCATTTGCAAGCAGCTCAGCTTTTGAGAACGCTGCTTGTAATGAAATATTTCTGATTAAAAGAATGTTGATGAAAGACTTCTGACCCATCTAAAAAGCTTTAGAGCTGTTTTCCTCTTCTCTCCATTTCTGCTGACTCCAGTCACTAGTGCTGTCAACACTATTTAGGAATACCATTTTTCAGCGTTCAGCATTGTTTCCTGATAAAGAAATAATGGCAGAAAAAAAAATACCCTGCTGACATGTTGAAGGCAGCCAGTGACTGCTGCGAGCAAGGTGACATTTGCAGACACCTGGGGTTTAGGTGTCTGCATTCCCTTGTTAGCAGTTTTTAATCAACATATGGCATGTCTGCATGGCAAAATGCAAGGAGTGATCAACCCGGCAGCATTCTGGGCTAGTACGGCTATTATTATTTTTTTTTCTGCTACCCAAGTAACTTCTGTAGACATTTGGATCTAGCTGTGTTGTGCGGTTCCAGAGGTGGGGGAAAGGAGATCTCAAAATCCCATCCCCGCTGTCGCAGGTGGTGCTTAGCTGTCGAGCCACCGCCATCCGGCTGCGTCCTGGAGAGGGGGTGACTCACGTCCCTGCTCTGTGCCAGCCGATGCTGGAGGTACGTTAGCCAACGGTGACCTGACCATGAGTCACTGCAACGCGGCCATTGCCTGCAGCTTTCCATTTCTTGGCCCTGCTATTTTTGGGTCCTGCAATTATGAGGTGAGCTGTGAATCACTGGTGTCTCGCTTTAAGCCAGGAGGAAACCAGGCAAACTGTGTTAACGTGCTTGGCAGGAGGGATTCTTGTTCTCCAGCGTTTTACAGGCTTTGGCCCTCCTTCTTGCTCCCCAGAGCGATGTGCTCACCCTTCCTCATGTGTAACTGTCACGCAGGATCTGAGCAACGGCCAGACGGCCTCGGCCTCAGGCTCCCTCCAGCCAGGTGTCATCTTCTGAGCAGGAACTGATCTTCAGAGGCCTGGAGGGGATTCCCAAGGGGTCCCAAAGGCTTATACTGATTTGCTCATCCAGTCCACGTAGGCAGGGTTCAGATTAGAAAATAGCATCAAATGGGTAACTCGGAAGGAGGCCAGACACCCATGTTGACATTGGCCTCTACGGCAGCTGGCCTTGCAATGTTTCTGCCATTCAGAGGGACGGTTGTGCCCTGAGGCTTGTTCTTTGCTCTTTGCTGTGTTGTGTGGCGCACAGCAGCGCAACCGTGTCGAAGCTCGCCAGTAGAGCCAGGGGGAAATTGCTGACCCTTTTTGTAAAGGCTTTGATGATGAGTCAAGAGAGGAACGTGCAGGACTTTTCTGCTGCATTGTAAGGGATGGACCCTGTGACAGCGCTGAACCCCCCAGCAGGCAGAAACGTGTGCATGGTCTTCTGCACAAGGAGGGGTTAAATCCCATTCCTCTGCTTCACCACTTCGCTTCCCACCACCTGAGCAGGATAGATTCACCTGTAGCCTTGTTTTAATGGCCCGGGATTCCTACACACATTTGTTTTTCTTGCACGTTCCTGCCTCTGCCAGTCCCTTCCCAGCTCAGCTGTATGATTCAATGTGCTTGTTAAAAACTGGTATCCAAACACTTCCTCTCAGATACAAGAAAACCAAGGGCGTATTTTTGCACCCAGGAATCCCCAGGCTGGAAAGGAGTCTGCTGGGGATTGTCAGGCTGTTGGAGAAGGACTGGGGACGGAGGAGCTGTAAACCTGCAGGAATTTGAAAAACCTACTTTAATTTAAGAGGAATGTCCTTTTGTTCCCAAATGGATGGGCCTCGCTCCAAAGGCGTTCAGGTGCAGTAACTGTTACCAGATGGGCTGTGAAAAGCAACACAAACAGGTGGTGAGGACAACAACCGTAGACTTTAATTTCCTTGTCAGCTTCTCCCTGTGCCTTACATACCCCCTCGAGAACAGGAGGATGAGGGGAGCTGTCGTATTTGTATATGGCAAAAGGAATGACTGTGGAGGGGATATTCTGCAACTGTATATAGCAGGTCAAGCCCTTGGACTCTCAGTGGCGAGACTGTCATCTGGGCCAAGGTGCACAATGATTAACTTAAAATGTAGTTCACTAGCACGTGCATTTTTATAGATACAGTGATCAATATCTTTTAATGCATGCTGACATGTATATGGGCTCAGATCCTCCCAGGTGTCACTACTGCCCTTCCATGTGAGACAGTGGGACCACGCTGACATTGCCCACCTGGAGCTCTGCCCAGTGTGCTTGGGAGCAGTGAAGGCTGGGGCTGCGGGAACACGAGAAGCCTTGATGGTTTTGGTGGGACCCCACACGTACTGGAGCACTTGAAGAGGGATGAGTGCAAGGCGACAGCATACCGGTCCTACAGCCTGGGCGGGGCTGTTTTACGGAGGCAGCGGTGGCCTCCCACTCCTGCAGGCTGGTGCCTGGCTCTCCACATCCCTCGGTGTGGCTTCCCACGGTAACTGAAGTGTTTGCGGTGCTGTGACTGGTGTGATGAGTGAATATACTTCAGTACAGGTAGGGTAGAAGCAAAACCGGTGTCATAGCCTCCAGCTTGTCCTAACAATGAGTGTTCAAACCCCTGGAGCCATCACTCACTGCTTGCCAGTATCTGCGAGTGCCCATGCATTGATAGCTCCATTGCTTCTGCTACATTGGCATGTGCAACAGCACTGGAAAAAGGAGAGACAGTGCAGAGCAGATATTTGCTAAGAAAAGCCATTTCATAGTTATCTCAGCACTGATGTTGCTCCAGTGACCGTAGGCACAGGCAGTAGTGATAAATGTGACTCCACATATTACAGATGTACTGATTTATTGCTGGAGTAAATACAAACCAGGCACAAAACAGTATGTGTTCTTATGGGACGCACAGTTTATTGCTCACCGCCTTGCTGGCCTGGGCAAGGCAGGGCAGGTGCGGGAGAGTGCACAACTGTTCTTCAGTCAACAGTATCCAACGTGCTTATGCTCAGTCTCTCTCATACTGGGTTTTTGCTTCCCAAATGCAATGCTATCCATGTCTGTCTGACTGTATTTCCATGTCCTTGGCTTGCAAGCATACAAGTGAAATTGTCTTTTGGGCTTGTCTCTTGTTCAGGCCCGTGTCAGTGACGCTTCATTTCCACTGTCTGACACCTCTTTGTTGACAGCTCCCCGTCTCTGCCCGAATGGATGCCTCTCAGTCTGGATGCAGGGAGGATAAGAGAATGCAGTCCTCCTTTAAGCCAAATGGAGCTATGTACAGAGAACGGCATTACCTTGGCTGTAGTCAAGCCCAGAGTAATAGCTGTTTCCTTGTGCTTTCCTTACTTGGAGACGGGCACACCTTCTCACAGTCAAGTAAGAGCTGGCGCAGGACTCATGCTCACCACAGAGAGCTGTATTACGTTGCAGTAAGGGCAGTCTTCGGAAATGTGAAGCCGAGAGAACAGAGGTTCATGATTCTTTATGGTCAGGAAAGGTTGCTAGGATTGTCAGGAACGGGGAGATGCAATTTGGACTTTTTTTGTTTCTTTTTAGGGATAAGGAAGCTGAGGCATGGGGTAGCTTGAGAGAGCTGGTACAAGTCTTGTGCAGTTGAGCTGGGAAAGGAATGCTTGGGTTCAATGCGCCTTCCACCTCCTTTTTACACGGGGACTAACGTGATGCGGTTAAGGTGTGGTGTTGAAATTGTGCAAGCCTCTTCCTAAGCCTTTTCCATCTTGAAACCATTGAGGTTATTTACCCCATTGCTGTGGGCTCTTAGCTGTCTAGCCTTTGACATCTCTAATTGTCTCTCCTAGATGATCAGCTGAACTCAGAAGAGAAGAAGAAAAGAAAGCAGAGAAGGAACAGGACTACCTTCAACAGCAGCCAACTCCAGGCATTAGAGAGGGTCTTTGAGAGGACACACTACCCCGATGCCTTTGTACGGGAAGACCTTGCACGCAGAGTCAACCTCACTGAAGCCAGAGTTCAGGTAATCACCACAGCTTCTACCCAGACACACCTCACCTCGGGGGGGTCATCAGGCCACTCCAGTATGGCAGTAGAAATCCTCAAGGTCTGCGTAGCACTCTAGGGTCACCAAGCTTCTGGGTCATGCTGTATTGAACTCCCAAGTGTGCCATGCCTTCAGGAGGACTGCCAGGCCTGATCACCATACTTACCACCTTCTCAGTCAGATGTGTTCATATGGTTCGTTCAAGGCCAAGATGTTGGATGTGCTGTGCTCAGGCTGCTCACATTATCTTGTGCTGCTCAGCTTTTAGGTTGCAAGCCTGCACCTTCTGAAGGTCAAAGCAGCCCATGGTGTCTTCTACAGCACTCCCAGGCCTTGCTGCCTACAGCACAGGACAGACCTGGTCCCACAGGGACCTCGCTGAGCCAGTTCCTTGCACGAGGGCTTTATCAGGGCAGACATAAGTATTGTCTTGTCATTAGAGTTTCCAGTGACAGGCATGACAAAGCAGCCTGCTTTTACAGCATCCTGTCTTGCCCAGCAGGGCAGAGGTGGTGTGATGAAAGGGGGGTGTTGCAGCAGAGCTGGTTGTGATGGTTGGTGGGTCTGTGTGCTTCCTATCCCAGGTGTGGTTCCAGAACAGGAGAGCCAAGTTTCGCCGGAACGAGAGGGCCATGCTGGCCAGCAAGAATGCCTCTCTGCTCAAATCCTACTCAGGGGACGTGACCGCCGTGGAGCAGCCCATAGTACCTCGCCCAGCTCCAAGACCCACCGACTATCTCTCCTGGGGTACCGCCTCGCCTTACAGGTGAGTGAATAACCCCTCTGGGACTGGCAAATTCCTGGCATAGTATAGAGCAGCCTGAGAGTGGCCCTTGGATAGCTCTAACGGGCTGTTTATATTCGCGTGGGACAACTGGAAAATACAGCAGTTTGACCACCCTACTGGTTTTCCTTATCCGTTCCCATTCCACCCCATCTCACTGCCAGGCTTGCAAAGTGGGCTCGGTTCAGCCTACTGGTTTTCCTTATCCGTTCCCATTCCACCCCATCTCACTGCCAGGCTTGCAAATGGGGCTCGTTTCAGCATCACCGTGGCTTTCTGGGAGTTGGGTCCATGGGAGGCTGCAGCTTTTTTGGTGGTCTCTCTCTGCAATTCAGGACGTTTCGAAAGAGGATCAGGTAGAATTACATGAAGAGAGAAGGGGTTGCACTTGCTTCCCTAGTGCATCCAGTTTAAAGCAAGGAGAAAACCTTTCCCTGAGACACAGATCCAGGGGAGGTGATGGCAGAGCACTTGGAGAGGCTCAGCCACCACACAGTGACCAGAAGAGGGAGTTCTGTGGCTGTCCCGTGGCAGTCACTGGTTGGAATGCAAGGAAGGGCTGGGAACTCACTCCATGCATGTTGTTCCCAGCCTTCACCTCAGTGTCAGCACTGAACTGGTGAGCAATTTCTTTCTGGTTGCTAGAGCACAAGCATGTGTGTGAACGAGCTGCACCGTTGTGCGGTGCTGTGGTTTGCCTGCAGTAAGGCCAGGTGTCTCTGGGTGGCAGACTGGTGTTCAATGTCCATCTCCTGTGGCCAGCACTGCTTAAAGGGTGGCAGGAAAGAAGTGCATATATGGCAGCCCCAGTCTGCTCAAAGGATCTGGGATGTCTGTGCATGTCACACGCCTCCCTGTCCTCCTCCGTGCCTTCCACAGCCCAGCAGGAACTGGGTGTGGATGCAAGATCCACAGGATGTGTTGGTTTGTGGGGAGCCAGCGGGCTTGGAGGCAGTTAAAAATGAGGTTGGTGGGTATCTTTCAGCACAGTGGCTTCATTGTTGGTCGGGACCTTGGAGCCGTTGGCTGGATTTCTTCCTGTTCATCTGGCTTGATCACAGCCAGCTTCCCACTGGCTTCCAGGAGTCACACCAGGCCCAGGACCTCTCTGCCTTGGTCACCTTGACCCCCTTCTTGCACTCCAAACATTGTTTGCACAGTTAGGTCTGCAAACAGTATGGCTTCCCTGATAGTTTGCTGCTTCAGTGCCATGGAGTCCTCCTCATCCACCCTGTAGCTCCAGAAGAACAAGTCATAGGTTCACCTGCTCCGGATACCGAATAGGACACTTTTGATGAGCACCAATTTGGTCTTAGAGATGGCCCTTATCCTTTGGATTTTGTCTGAGGACTGCTGTCTGACAAAATCCCCCTTTTGGAGTTATGGCTTTCTCTCTGTGAAGCACTCCTCTGTGTTGCATCCTGAGGAGGAGTTTGGGTGGGTGAGTTCAGGGGAGAGAAGCACAGGTCCTTCCCCTCTCCACTGAGCTGCTCTGGTCACAGTACCAGATGCCTTCTTGAATGCTCGTGGTTTATTTCTGCCTCTCACACTTTAAAAATAGATCATTCCTCCCAAGATGATGTTTACATGAGGGGCCTCATAACGTCTTCTAGGAGAAGACCCTGCAAAGGTGACTTCCAGGGGCACACTGGGAAGGGCTGTCTGGGGCCACTCTGGGCAATGAGAAGCCCAAGGCATCTGGGATGTGCAAATGAGGAGAGCAAGGGAGAAGGGAAAGCCTCAGGAATGGTTTTCTCCCCCTGAGGTCCAGACCTGGCTGTGCCTCTCCATGGTGCGAAGACGCATCCTCACTGCCTTGATGTCTTCTTGACTTAAGCCAAGACATTTCAGCAAAGATGTTTGCAGCTTACAGCCACCCCCACTGGCTGACACACCAAACCAGGATGGACTGTCACCCTCCCACGGCCCTGCAGAGGAGTAGGAGGCATTGGCAGAGGGGCAGAGCAGCTGGTTTCCACAATGTGGGGTGGTCAGGACCCTCAGACACTTTACGCTCCCCAGGCTTTCTAATCCTGCTGGGCATCTCTTAGCAATCACATTCATCTTACTGGGCACCTGGGCCAGGTTCACAGCCTCATTAAGGCTTTGAACTGAGTAGTGTTATTGAAGTATTGGACACGTGGTGAAAAACAGCCATGCAGAGTGTTTGCATGGCCCTCTGCCCCCTCCTCACCTCCCCAGCGCTGCCGTAGCAGCTCCTGAGTAACGGCTAGACCGGGAGAGGGCTGAGAGCAGGGCTGAGACCTGCGTTGGCCGGTGCTGTTTTTACTCTTAGGTCTGGGGAAAATTTTCAATCAGTGTGTTTATTCTCCAAATACATTCAGCCACAGGTCGACCAAAGCTATTTGCAGATCTGTGTCACACAGATAGCCAAGTAGATACTATTATTTTTTTGAAGTTGAAATATTTTGCTTAGACATTTTTTAGCTAGTTTTAGAAAACAAGACTAGCAGTCGCGCTGTCAGCCTGCACTTCCCGCTCCAACGGGCCATTGAAAACCATATTTGAAAGAAGGATTTTAGGTCTCAGAAACGTGATGTTCCCCTGTGTTTCATGAAAGCAGGCAGCTGAGTAGAGGAAGGAGACTTTTTGTGCCTGAATGGGGCAGAGGGAGGGGGCAGTAGGGTGACTTCAACCCCTTATCAGACCCTAGAGAGTCTCTGGACTAACACTTCAAGCCATACTGATGTTTGGAGACAGCCTTCTTGGGCGCTGGTCCTTGTGGAATAACTTGCTAAAAGGGAGTGTTTCTGTAGATTTTTGGTTTAGCAGAGATTTCACTGAGCAACAGTAATTTTTCCCACACCTCTGGGGAGCTGAGAGCAGGAGGCACTCTGGAGTTTTAGGTCAGACTTGGGCAGCAGTTATATATGGGTTTTGAATGGGGGCAGTTTACACCCAAGATTGAAAATTCCTACTTTATCTAAGCTAGAGCATCCTCGAGGCTCTTCTTGTGCCTTCCGGCATGAAACCATGCGGGAGATGCACCCTGTGGAAATGGGTGGGAATGGGTGCTTTAGTGGCCATCAGCTGTAGACCCTGCAAAACTTTGCAACGCCCCTGCAGGCAACACTGGGCTTCTCGCATTGCTGCTGACTTACAGGGGAGAGGGTAAAGTCACCAGCCCAAAGTCAGCCACAGAGAGGGAACTGGGGGGGTGCGCGGCCGTCTGGGGAAGGCTCCAGGCACGCCGATCCATCACATCCTGGACCCCTGCAAAATGCAGTCAGTGCACCCCGTGTTGGGCAGTGTTGAACACCCCTGAGCCCCAGGGGTGCATAGGGAGCTCCGCAGCTCTTCCTCACCAGGTCCTGTGCTCGGGGCTGCTGTGGCTTTCTTATCTGAAAGGTTTTGGGTTCTTCTGAAGGAATAAATTGAAAAAGGATAAGTCGATATTTTTAAGGATATGCCTGTATTTTGATGTGTGTATTTTAATGTCCATCCTCCATACCCTTCCAGTAGCTGCTAGAGACTCTCGAAGTGTCCTCAATGTCTGTTGTCCTAGGGAGAGTTTTTGGTGGTTTTCCCTGGATGGGTGTAAGCAGCTGTATGTCCATGAGTCTTACCTGTCATTTCTGTGGGCGTAAGCTGTCGTGTTTCCACCAATGCTGATGCAGAGATGACAGTTCCTCCCTGAAGAAGTTCTTTTTTCCCTGATTTTAAAGTGAGAAATAGCAGTCAGTTGGCCTGGGATGGGACCTACTAGTATTTCCTGGTCTGGACCTCCTGGAGGCTGAGGATTCAGACAGCGCTGAATTGCATTTAAACTCCTGGCGGGTCAGCTCTGCCTTGCAAAGTCAGAGATACCGCCAGCGCTTCGGGGCGAGCATGCGCGCCCACGGCCTGGATCTGTGCGTGCAGTAAATGCCCACCTCCCTCAAGGGAGATTTGCTGTTGCAAAGGCTCTTCCAGTTGTGGAGATCAGCCCTGGAAGGAAAAAAGAAAAAAAAAAAAAAAAAAGGAGAAAAGCAAGTTATCTTATTTCTTGGGCTGTGGGTGGAGGAGAGTGTTTCCCAGAGTTGGACCTGAGCCACTCAGGCAGGCGGTTGGAAAGGGTCAGCACCAGACCTGAGCTTGCCTGCAGGAGAGCATTTGTGGTTTACTCCTGAACACGCTGGCTGCGTTAAATGGGCGACTCTAGTTCACCTCCTGTTTTTCAACTGATTTTTATCTGTGGACACACCTATAGGAAATGCAACACGTCAGATTGTTTGCTGGTTTTTGGGGCGGAGGGGTTGCTTTTCACAGAAACCTGGGACACATGGGTTAAACAAATTTTCTAGTGGTCTGGAAAGCAGATTTGCAAATTTTTGGTAGGATAAGAAAGGACTCTGAGATCTTTGTTCATGCTCCACTGCCAAAAGTAATGTTTTTCATGAATAAAGACATGATTTGAAGGGAGAAAAAAATGCTTTGTTTTTTTTCCCTTCAGCCTTTAAGGCATGCTCTATATGATCATCTGAAGTTTTGAGGGAAAAAATGTGGAAATTTTCATTCCAAAAGGCTGAAACCAAAAAGCATCACAGTTGTTGAAATGGGTTTTTACCAGAGTGTTTCTTTAATGTAACATGTGTTTCAGAAGTGACGTGATTTCACAAGCAATAAAACCAGCATCATGCTCTCATCAAAAAGACATTGCTTCCAGTGGGAATACTTTTAAGGACAATGGTCTAACTGGCAGACTAGGCATCCTGACCTCACTGTAAACCTTTTGGGTTAGGAAATAGGAAATGGAAATTTTCCTATTGACTTCAACCAACTTTGGCGTTCACTATCCCTGGGTAAGTGAACCGCAGTGGAGAGATTTACAGGGGCGTTAAATAAAACGTAGCGATAATTCCCTGCTCACATAAGAAATAAGTCCCACAGGTATGGAAACCCTGGGGTTTAACCTTGCTGCAGTGCGCCTCTGCTCTCTGCATAATGTGAAGACCACGTCTGATATGATGTTTCTCTCTTTCCATCCCACAGCGCCATGGCCACCTACTCCGCCACGTGTACCAACACCAGCCCAGCGCAGGGCATGAATATGGCCAACAGTATTGCCAACCTGAGACTGAAGGCAAAGGAATATAGTTTACAGAGGAATCAAGTGCCCACAGTCAATTAACGACTGGAGGTAGCTGCCTTGCAGAAGGAGAAAATACAACAGCACCCGTCCTGCTTCGCAACTTGTTTGTGCTGAAAAAAAAAAAAAAAAACCAAACAAAAACCAAACAAAAAAAACACAAAAAAAGAAAAAAAAAGAAAAAAAGCCAACCCTAACCCAGAACTGAATGTGGGGACCAAACTGGGAGCAAACTGACCCGCTCATGAGTGACAAGGTTCCTCCTTCCTTTTGGGATAATGCCACCATTTTTTTTTTCTTGTTATTGTCAGGTTTATTGCTTCTGCTCAATATACTACGAGCTTCTTCAGTAAAGGACAGTCTCACCCTTGTTGGTTTCCATTTTCGTATGGGACTGCAAAGAGAAACCTGCCAATCTCAGCTGGTGGACATGTCCCACCTGCCATCATGCTGAGACGCAAAGCTTGCTCCTCTCCCCCCTGCCCCAGCTCACCCTAGAAGAAGTTGTTTGGTCACCGCTTTCCGTTGTATCTGCCTGACCCTTCATCCCTCCAGTCCCTTGTGCCACAGAGGCAGCGCCGTTACCATTAGTCTACAAGAAGCCGGTTAGCGCAACAAGATGGGGTCATCCTGCCTGGGTTGCCTGGACCAGTCTGAGACATGAGGAAGACCTCCTTGGACTTCGCAGCGCTTCATTGCTTTCTTGAGTATTCCCGGCACTGCTGCCTCAAAAAGCCAAAGAAGAGAGAAAAGCCAATGTGGGCATGTGAGCGGGGCGGGGGGCGTAGTGGGGGGATCGCTCTGTAGTGCCAAGAATAGGACTGTTAGGACACTCCTTTTTATGCCTTACAGTTTGCGCCACAGGGAAAGGCGTTGTCCGGATGCATTTGTTTTATATATACTGTATATATTTATATATATAAGATATACATGCAAGCTTGGTTGGTGTTTTTTATTAAACAAAATAAAATCCATTGAAAATGTTTGGGATGTTTGTGCTGCATCAAGGTTCCTGGAGCCATGCATTGAAATTCCAGCCGCAGCCTCTCTCACCCTTGTCAGAGCTCTTCCCAGTGGCCTCGGCTGGCACTTGAAATGGCCAGCTCACATCTTCCTGTGAGAAACCCCAAAGAAGTGGCACTGGAGGGAGCCACGCTCCTTTGCAGATTTTCCCCATGGGCATTTGCAGCTTCATAAAATGAGAAGAGAATCTCCTTTCCAGTCAGGTAGGTTCATGTGGCTCTTGGCAACACGCAACACGCAATCCTCATGGAAAATCTCTCCCAGCCCCTCTGAGGATGGGTAATATCTCAGCAGGGAGCATCCCACATGAAGACCATATCTCCCCTCAGTTCCCATAACACTGCCCAGGGAGGCTTGTCCTGTATCCTTAACCACTCTCCTTTGCTCTCCCTACCTGCTGTCCTCCCTCCTCTGGGGTCTGGAGAGCTAGTTAGGACCTAATTTCCTTCTCTCCATGAAGAGTAGAGGAGATGCAACCCAGAAGGGGTTTCTTCCATGCAAGCATCCTGAGGAAATTAGGATCTTTCATGTTGTTGGTGATGCCTGCCTCTTTCGAATTTGGGAGGAGGAGGGGACTTCTTATTTATGGTAAATAGTGCTTGTGCAGGAGGCCTGCCCAAACTGAGCAGGACTTTGCCATGGAATAGTCCCGCTGAAGGCAGCAGAGCTACTCCATGGCCCAGGCTAGACCATAAGGGAAGGAAGCTTGGTCATGAGGGATACTTCTGGTAGGGTGGCTTAGGTTTCCATCCTGGTGTTTGCTGCAGACACACTGGGCATATGTAGACAGTGGGCTTTGATAGTCTAAAATAGCATGTTGCAGGAAATGAGAAATAAATCTCTTTAAAGTGAAGGTGAAAATTAAACTGGCAGAGGATGAATGGAAATCTGGCCAAAGTATTTGAGCTAACACTGGCAAAAAAAGCCCCAAATCCAAACTGGTGTAAGTTGTGCTGGTGATTGTGTGTGTTGCTGCTGGAATTTTTTTTCTGCCTGTATGGATATTTTTGAGGAAAAAAAAAAGAAATGTAATTGTGAACAGGACAAAAAGCTAAAAGTTGCAGATTACATTTGCAGAAAGAACACCAGCAGGGGAAGCAAGGCTGGACAAGCACTGCGTTTTAAGAAATACATGATGTTCTGTTTGATCCCTTTTTTTGGCCTTGCCTTCTGTAGTCTGGAGAAGCTAACGTCTCTAAACCAAAATATTTCTATCACGAGAAGTGTGGTTCCAGCTTCTAGAGCCAAGTGATCACACTGGAAATCTCAGCCTTCACTTAGAAATTCACTCTTGGTTCCTGTGCCTACACAAACAGAGAAACTATAGAAGAACATGTCCTGCACAATCAGAAAGAAAAAGGACCCAGTGCAATGTAACATTACTCAGAGGCTGAACCAGTCACTGAGTGCCTTAGCCTGGTGCTCTCCCCTCTCCTTGCCTTGCTGCCCTCCTCTGCGATCCACCAACATCCCAACAGCAACAGCAGCCTGAACGAACTGCCCCATGGTAGCCTGAGGCTGCCTGAGTGTCCACCCTGGAGGTTTCAGCTGTTTCCTTCAGCATGGTGGTGGCCTGTGGCTTTCCCCTAGTCTTTGCTCACCTTTTCTGCAGTAGAAAAATCACCTTGAGCAGCTTTCTTTGGTGTCTGTGTACAGGCACCCATTTCTGAAGTTAGCAAGGAGACAGTTCAGAGAGTATGAAGTTCCTCGTACCCCGTTATCCATCTGTGGACTGAGATACCCATCCCTACTGCCACACTGTGATGTCTGTGTGAAGGGGCTCACATAAAAGCCTGTGCAAACCCTTGTTGACCCTCCTCACTTTATTTGTGTGAGGAATTGAATTGACTTGCACGGGGCTGCTCCTGCGGGAAGGTTGTGTAAGCTTGTGCACTTCGGTTTTAGTTGACTCTTGCCTTGGGTTGGACTGCTCGGTTGGGGATGCCATCACAGTTGACTGGGCTGTTGTCAGTCCAGATGAGACCTTTACATCACCTTTGAGCTGGGCGACATCAAGATGTAAACCAGAGCATCCAAGACAATGTTGCTTTGTTTACATGGATTTGCTAAATGGAGTCCAGCTGGATGAATGGATGGGTTTTGTTGTTTGTTTCTTAATTGCCGATGACTTCAGCCAACAGGCAGTGTCTAGTTGTCTATCAAGCCAAAGCGAAATATTATGATTGTGTATGTTTAATCTGTATTTTATTGAACCATGTAAATATATGTGCAAATTAAGGGCCTTATCCTGAAAGCATGGAGTTCTCCAGGGTTTTAGCAGACTTTCAGTTGCAGCTCCTAGGAAGTTGCCATGGTTACCCCAGTTATCACTAAGTTTGGGCACCATTCAGGGGAGAAAATGGTCTTGAGGCACATTCCTCTCTCCTGCTCTGTACGAACGCTGATTTCTCAGCTCCCCCCTGCCTTGATGTAGAAATAGGTGGCTGATTCCCTCTAAGTGGGATTTTTGAGCATGACAGGGATGGATGATTGATGAGGCTGGTGGAGCTTGACGTGTGAAGCCACGGGAGGGATTCCCAGATGGAAGTGTATCCTGTAAATTATCTCTTGCTTTGTGATGTAAAATGTACAGTGTTTGCACTAGAATAGAAATTATCATTTTCAATAAAAGGGGGAAAAGACTCCCCAATCCTTTCTATAAGCTGCCACATATGTGTCACATGTCACTGCCCTGAGGTGTCCTGCAGTGTTGGCTGGGGCTGGGAATGCGCTGGAGCCTTGGCGGGGGGAAATTGGGATCAGGGTTGGCAGAGTAGGGCTCAGGGCTGTCCTTCCCAGCAGGCTCATCCTGGAAACACCATGCAGCCAATTGGGGGACCGCAGAGAGACCCCAGCAGAGACGGGGACCCCTCTGCAGCATGCACTGTGCAAGCCAGCCAGTGAGCCAGGTGGAGATGGATGCTGTGTCCAGACCCCTGCCTGAGCCACAGGATCCTTCTGTCAGTGTAGGCAGCTGCAAACAAGTTCAGCAGGTGCGTAAGGCAGGAGGCATCCATGGAGACTTCTCCTAAAAGAGATGATTTTTAAAGAGAGGCAAGACACACTCATGGCTTTGCCCCTGGCTCCCTACACCGCACCGGACTGGTGAGATGCCAGTGTGGGGCTGAAAGTGGGGCAGGAGGAGTGCAGGGGGGTCTCCCTTCAGAGAGGAGAGGGGAGGGAGGGCTGGGCATCCTTACCTGGGCATTGGAAGGTGGGTGACCAGCAGAGAGGGACGGGAGGAGGGAAAGCCACAAATTAGGAGAGGAAAAGGGTTGAATCCCACCACGTGGGCAGGGAGCAAAAAGAGATGGGCTGCGTAGGGAAAACACTCCACTGCAAAGCAAGGAACATGGTCAGAAGGGGCTCAGAGGCTAACGAGGGCTAATTAGCACAGTAGGCTATTAAAGTAGGAGCTGCACAGGTGCTGGGGAAGAGCTTTTGGCAGGGGAAGGCACCAAGCTGGGCTGGAGCTGGTGAGTTGTGTTACAGAGAGCAGGTCTCTGCTGGGAGCTGTTGGGCGAGGAGGGGGGGGGGGGGGGGGGGAGGAAAAAAAAAGGTCAAAACAGAAAAAAAAAGGGGGGGGGGGAGGGGAGGAAGAGGGTGGAGAGAAGATGCTGGGAGTCTGGGGCTGGTGGGTTTCTGTGACTTCCCTTCTTGGTCTCTAACTGATTCGTTCAGATTTGAGTCAAAGGGTGGGAATCTGGAGTGTGTCTGGGCTGGCTGGCTGTTTCCCTGCTGATCTGGCTTTTGATCCTCTGTGGACAGTGTGTGTTAGGGTTAAGCAGGCTGAATGCAAGGGGCAGTTAAATTTCAGCAGCCCAGCCTATGGAGAGACCCTGATAAGAGGAGATGGGTATCTCTGCAAAACCCTCAGCAGTCAGATGAGTTTACATTCCTTGCAAAGCTGATTATTCACCCCTCTGAAGCTGAAATAATAATAATATCAGCCTCTTTCTTATTATTTTCTGCTTGCCAAAAGAAGTAGACTTGCAAATAGCATAGCTTCCAAGTTGTTTTTGAGACCAGAGTGATTTGGACTGAGTTGAAAGAAGCCTCAGATGTCCATCCAGACCTGCAGCTGGCTTATCTGAGCTCCCTTTGGGCAGG